GGGGGGGGGGGGGGGCCAGGAGCTCCAACAAGCCGTTTAGGGCAGAGAGTGAATACACATGCTATACAGAGATGCTGTATGAGAAGCCAATGCATGTATTCTAGTAGACCTCAACAATGGAATTATGACCAGTAGAAATGACATGGGCCCTTTAAATAAAAAAAGGTGCTACTTGTACTTTAGTGTTTTCACAATGTGCTACTTTATGCTTTTATTCCACTACATTTATTTTACATATTTAGTTACGAGGCAGATTTTAGGCAATCATGCAAAAATATAAATACTGTTAAGCTGCCCAGTAGAATATAAAGGCCTTCAAATAAACCCCACGTTTTACGAAGTGATGAACACGTTAATGCACCAATAATCAGAATGCAATCATTTAAAATATATGGTGCTAAAATGTGCCATTCTGCATATTGACATGGCTTCGACTCGTTAGTCAGGAGGTGCAACACTATGAACATGGAGATATCTCCCCCTCCCCAAAGTCCGGATGCTCTTGCTGCTTCTGGATGAAATCAGCAGCATTTCCTTATTGATAAATCCCTTTATAGAGCACAGTTGAATTAGGTCGTGCCCTGCAGACAGAGACCAGAAGCTTCTGCACTGAGATGGATCTGACTTTGTGATTTCTGACCGCGATACAAATGTAATTTATTATTATTAAATATTCGAGAAAATTCCACTTTATTCTTGGATAGTTTTCTCAGATTATTACCCACCTGGCCCAGCTCCATAAAATCATTATAAAACATTATGTCTTCCCTTCCTACGCAGTCAGACTTCTGACTCTGCGTGCACTGAAGTTGCTCCACTAGGATAGAGATCTTGCCAAATCTGAACAAAGACGTTTGACATTGATGTGTCTCCGCCCTTAGCCCAAGAAGAAAAAGAAGCCGAAGCCGAAGCCCGAGGCGGTGGAGCCGGATCAACCCGCGGCGCCGGAGGAGGACGAGAAAAAGGAGGAGCTTAACGGTTTCCACGGTAACGGATCGGTGCTGGACGGGGAGTCTCTGGACTCTCTGAGCGAGCAGCTGGACTCCGCCTCTCTGGACGCAGCCGAGCTGGACTCTGAGCCCGCCGCGGCAGAAACACCCGGTAACTAAATACAGACGTCTGCACTCAGCACTCAGCAGCTGCAGTTTGTACGAACAGCCAATTGTCGACTGGTCCAACAAGTCAGGAGTTACAGTCGTCCCAACGCGACGTAACAAAGACATGTTTCACCTTCTCAAAGGCAGCTGAAAGAAACTAGTTCTGCCTAAACCTTACTTTGTAGATTTAAGTTATTAATGCAAAATATAAATGATCAGATATTATAATAAGCCCAGTAGTAAATAAAGGCCTTCAATTAAACCCCAGCTTTACCAAGTGATGAACACATTAATGCACCAATAATTAGAATGCATATCCGGCCCGCGATTTCATTTGATGCGGCCCCGCAAGAGCTCTGAACGGATATAATATGTTTATTATACGGTTACATGCCGCTTCACAGCCCATAAACTACATGTCCCACAATGCATCTCATTTTGTGACACTGAAGAGACTTCTGCTTTCAGACGTAGTTAATTATGAAGTTATTACCCTATCTGATAATAATCCAACGCAGAGGCAATAATATAATACATTATTTGATATATATTATATATGTATATTTATATAGTCTTTAAAAAAATTAAAGTAACCCGTCTCCTCCCAGGTGCAGAAGCAGAGATTGTGTGCAGTGCTCCGCCCCCCCCCTCACAGCAGGGCGGCAGGAATCTCCACCAGCCCCCCCGAGGGAACAAGAACCGGCACCGGACCGGATCCGGCTCTCACCCCCCCGCCTCCTTCTTCCCCCCCCACAGCGAGGAGCAGGGGGCGGGAGTCAGGAAGATGGGTGAGACATTAATGCAAAATATAAAAACATGATCATATATTATAATAAGTTAAGCTGCCCAGGAGTAAATAACATTTCCTACTTATGGCTTTCTTGCCAGCTTTCAACATTTACAACATATCTATCCAACCCAGACAGAGTACCATGTAGTCCAGAGGAACCTCATCTCTCACTATCTCTTTTGCAAAACCTTGTTTACCGATTCCCAAAACTAAAGTACTTTTTGGCAGTGGTCGCTCCTCTTTAAGTGATGTTCAATGTCCGCCCTCAGCTCCCAACATCGACCGCTCGGTGAAGGATCTGCAGAGATGCACCGCCTCGCTGACCCGCTACAGGGTGGTGGTGAAGGAGGAGATGGACTCCTCCATAAAGACCATGAAGACCACCTTCGCTGAGCTGCAGAGCTGGTGAGGGGTTTTAACTTTAGCTCCTGTAGTGGCTCTCGGAGCCTTCGAGTGCTCCTCGTATGGTCAACAAATCAGAGACGTATGGTCCAACATTTAGTCAAACCTGAAATTAAACACAGAGCTTAATCCCAGGTCAAATTAAAGGGTCTTTCATATCCTGTCTTCAGTGAATGTAATGTTCTGATAAGTGTCCTAAAGACTTTTCAGGCGTTGGGACACTTCGGGCTTTAGGACACTTTGTGCTCTCAGGCTTTAGGACCAGGGTTCGAGTTATAATCTGAGCTTTATGTGTGTGTGTACGCGCGCAAGCACACACACACACACACACACACACACACACACACACACACACACACACACAGCCACACACAGCCACACACACAGCCACACACAGCAGCAGCCCTCTAGTTGCTACAAACTTAAATATGAAAAGGTTCAACTAAGCACACACACATCACCTCGGCTCGCGCAGCAGGCTCACAGGCACAGATTGGAGGTGCAGTGCAGGCATATTGTCATTCAAGAGATGCGTAGTTCTTTTAGCCTATTTACCTCGTTAACGGAAATAATACTCATCACATTGACACATGCATTATTTGTGATTAAAATAATGGTTGTTGGTAGTATTAGCGACCCCCACAGATGTATGATGTCACTGCTTTCATGGGATCTCAGGCCCTCCTTATGAGAGCTCAGCTCCCACATAACTCCAACCCTGATTAGGACACGTTGGTCCCTGTAAGCGGCAGCTTTTAAATCTGAGGTTTGACTCATAGTTAACCGCTGCTGAGGTTCGAGGTCCGGTTTCTACCAGGCTAATGGTGCTAGCTGCTAGCCCTCTGGAACGCTCTCCCTGCGGAGATCCACAACATCCCCACACTTGACGCCTTCAAAAGGGCCCTCAAGACCCATCTGTCTGCCAAGGACTTTGGCCGCAAATCTATTTGTTGTTTTGTCTGTCTGACTGTTCGTCTGACTGCCTTTTGTTTTGTTATGCTTGTTATGTTTGTTTATACTCCTGTTCTTCCTTGTAAAGCGACCATGGGTATTATGAAAGGCGCTATGGAAATCCAAGTTATTATAGTTATTATTATTATTATAGTTATTGTATTTCCAAAGTTTGGAAGTCGTTGATGATCTTCAAGTCCTAACGTGAAAACATGGACACTACAAATCCATGTGTTGTGTCTGAAATAACCGTGTAGTTTAAACACTCGGAGCAATTAGAGTTGTTGTTATTGACTTGAGAGGCGTTGTTCCAGGATTCGTTACCAGTTCAGAAATCTTTTGACCTTTATTCCCACAGTGCAGGGAAGCAGCACATTCACATTTCTCACAATGCTAACGGAAGTGAATCCGAGTCGGTGTGTCCGCCCGGGGTTTGGGATCCTCTCCAAAATCTAATCTGTTCTTCCTTAACCTTTTGTTACGTCCTTCCACGAGTTTCATCCTCACCAGGCTGCTAGTTCTTCTGTATTGAACATGAGAGCTGAACAAAATGACCTCCTGTGTGAAAGCAACAATACAGAAAGTCCAGTAAATGATTTCATCACGGAGAAGCTAAGAGTTTCTGTCCTGTATCAGGAAGCTAAAAGATATCTCCAGGCTAAAGGGAAGAGATCATTATCAGCTTTCTTTCAAATCTAGCGAGCTGACTTCCTGATATCTGAAGGTGGTGAGAGCTGTGGGGCGTTGTTTACAAAAGATGCATCCTTGATTGTCTTTAATCTGTTTCTGAGAACTTTAAAGGGGACCTATCATGCAAAATGCACTTTTTTACGTCTTTTATACATGAATATGTGTCCCCGGTGAACTCACCAAGTGTCAGAAAATACAACCCTCTCTCTTTTCCTCCATACCCAAATCTCTAAAAACAGGGCTGCAACGGATTTGATACATGTGGATTCTGATTTGCACCTCTATGATGTCACAGAGGTGCACTCCACCTGTATGGTCAACTCTCCACCTATCAGGGGAATGAGAGGTTGCCGTGGCATGGCAACAGCATAGCAACAGCATGGCAACAGCATAGTAACATGACGCTTGTGCCTCGCCCCCTCCTTTGCAGGGGTGGTGTGTGTGTGTCAGCTCCAGCTCATGCAAAGACAGAGCTAGAGTGAGGCAAAATGAGGCATGGCTAAAATGCATGATCTGTTTGGTATTTTGAAAAATAAAACTTATAAATATACCTTTTTATAGGTATTTCCCTACAATATATTATTCAAATATAGCATGATAGGTCCCCTTTAAATAAAAACCAGCTTCAATAATCTCTGTTATCTTGAAGGCACTAAGCGATCAGACACGTCTCTACCTCCCAGCTCTTTAAGGCTTTGTGTTTAAAGATGTACTTTCTGAATGAATCTGAGATCTGAAGTTGAATCTGAAGGTTCGGGATAGAGCTGCAATGTTTCAGGCATCACAGCTTCACACAAGGTCTACCAACATCTTCA